TTTAACTTTATTTGAGTGGAATCGGTGCCTTTCGCTGAATTCTTTAATTCTCTGCAAAATTTTCTTGCCCCTTGTTATATTTTCAGAACAAAGATGTTAATGGGGAACATTCGTTTCCTGTGGTTAAAGATCCATCTCAATTTTCGGTATCCCATGCACGTTACAGTAAGGTATTGCATAATTTTATTTTTGTTCAATACCTTTTTTTTTTATTATTGTTTAGTGAATTGATATTTTTCTCTGTTTGTACTCATTTATATTCGTATGGACTTTCATGCAGAACCCAGTTGCTAGATGGCATATATGCCAAGGTTCAATAAATGCCATCAGTTTTTCGGCAGACGGTGCTTATCTAGCGACAGTAGGAAGGGATGGTATTTTCGTAATTCGACCTCACATTCGATATCTGGATTTTTGTTAATTTAATAATTTGTCTGTTCTTGTTTTGTACATTTGAAAAAAATTGATGAATGCAGGTTACCTTCGTGTGTTTGACTACAAAACCGAAGAGCTCGTTTGCGGTGGAAAGAGCTACTATGGTGCTCTTCTATGTTGTGCTTGGAGGTGAGCAATTTGTTTATTTGTTTTTCTGAAATTTGTATTCTTTTTTTTTCTGTATGTAGTCTTATATTGTGTATTGATGGCTTCGAAATTTCGAACGAAACAGCTCGGATGGAAAATATATTCTGGCTGGAGGAGAGGATGACTTAGTACAAGTGTGGAGTATGGAAGATAAAAGGATTGTTGCATGGGGTGAAGGCCACAGCTCGTGGGTGAGTGCTCGAATATTTCTCGCCTTTTATCATTCGTTATACGTTGCTATACATAAACCAATTGTTTCAATATTCATCTTCACTGCACAAAATATAAAACAAATCAACAGTCAGATTCCCATTGCAATTGTTCTAATTTCTAACTTCACATTTTGGTTGGGAATTTTTCCTTTTTTTTCCCCTTCTTCATGAAAGGCTTTGAAACTGTTAGGCTATGTTTGGTAAAAAAAATTGATAAGCTAGCTGATAGCTGATAAGCTAGCTTATAGCTAATCAGTAATTTTCGAGCTTATAGCTTATAGCTTATGACTTATAGCTGAAAAGCTAGCTTATATAATAAAGTGTTTGGTAAAATTAGCTGATAAGCTAGCTGAAATAAAAATTTCAACGAGCTTATTTGAAAAGCTACCCAAAAGCTTATCAAATAAGCTCGAGCTTTTTAAAAAAATTCATCCTACCAAATGAAGCTTTTTTGAAAACAAGGAGCTTATAAGCTAACCAAATAAGCTATAAGCTAGCTTATCTGTCTACCAAACATAGCCTTAGTCCATTCGACTGACATATATCAATCGATTTTATCCTTGTATTTTCCGATGGTAAACTTGCACAAGTTTAAAACAAACTCGTAAAATCTGGTACATTACGGTGCAGGTTAGTGGAGTGGCCTTCGACCCGTATTGGTCAGCTCCGAATGCAGATGGCACAAACGAAAACATTATCTACCGTTTTGGTTCTGTGGGTCAGGTAAAAAAAAATATTTAGATTTGTACAAATAGTGCTAAAACTTCATCTATATATTGATTAAAGAGAGGTTATATTAAAAATATACATATAATTATCTTGCAGGATGCACAGCTCCTTCTATGGGACCTTGAGATGGACGAGCTCATGGTCCCGGTTCGTCGGGCCCCAGGTGGGTCACCCACTTTTAGCACCGAGGCCCAACAGTCTGCCCATTGGGACAATGCTTGCCCTAATGGAACCTTAAAAGCTGCCCCAAGCACAAGGGAAGTCCCCAAACTGCCCCCTTTGGTGGCCCACCGGGCCCACACGGAGCCCCTCTCAGGTTTGGTGTTTGCTCGGGAGTTTGTGCTCACGGTTTGCCGTGAGGGCCACATCAAGATTTGGAAGAGGCCCGGTTTTGATGAGATTGGGCCCGTCTGGCCCGATTCTTCATCGAGTTGTTCGGGCGTGTTGGAAAAACCTTCGGTGAAAGTGGTCGAGGTTTGAGTGGTGATGGTGGACAAAAGAGTTTATAGTCAGGGGAATATGTAGTTGGTTTTGAATATCCATGGAAAATAATATTTTTCATGAGATGCCAATTTTATCATTCATTACTTTTCTTTTCTCTGACTTTGGATTTTGCCTCATGTTTTGAGATTACTGAAAGTGAGGCTGTGTTGATTTTGTTGTTAGTAATCAATTCTTGTTTAAATCAAGCTTTGTAAATGTAAACAACCAGATTAATTGTTGTATGTCACATTTAATAATAATAATTCACTTAACAGCTTATAAATTATTCAAAACTGTGCAATTACATCATTTTGAAAGAAAAAAAAAAAATGTCAGATCTTATTTTTAACATTAACCTCCAGTGTTTGTTCATTGCAATTTGCCACTACCACATAACTAGCAAATAAAATCTTTCCAATAAATTTGCAAAATCATAAAAAAGAGTAATGTAAACACAAAAGAAGCCACACACATTCATGTAGAGTCCTATAAAAAGGAGGCAAAGAACAAAAGATAACACTATTGTGTTCTTAAAAAGACATTCTTGAAGGATAACATCATAACAATATAAGTTACATAAGATCAAAACAAACTAAGACCATATATAGTGTACAACAGACAGCATTTTGCCTGCCAATGAGGCTTCCACCCAATCTACTTGATTATTAGAATCAAAGTGCACTGTAAAGTTTAAGAGCCTAAGCCCAGGAAGAAGAAACACAAACAAAAGCATAGTACATAAAGGGGGAATAAAAAGAAAAGAAAATAAAAATCAAACAAAAACTTTACAGAACTGGAGGCATCGTCATCACAGCTTAATTTTCCTCGTTCTCTGTCCCGCCATTGCTGACCTTGATTTCTAGAAGGCGCTCGACTGGCTGTCTGCATATTGGGCACCTGTTCGTTTGGAACCTCAAGACTTTTGCACATTCGCTGCACATACACTGCACCGAAATAAAGTAAGTTACGTCATGTACAGAACCGCCAAAAAGAACCTCACAGATGTATTGAGCTATTGTGTAAGTGACAATTTGCAGCATCTACCAAATAGGAGAATGAGAATAGGAGGAGGAGGAGTAGAAGAAGAAGAAGAAGAAGGAAAACAATTGTACTTGAAAATACACATTACAACAAACGGGTTCGAGTCAAACTATGGTGATAGGAAATGAATCCTAAAAGGTGTCATTTACTTAAAATGATGGGATTGGATCAATTTAATCCCATCAACTTTACATGTCAGCTTGTGTGATGTGTCAAATGATTTTAAGGCAAAAACAATCAAATATTTACTAACCTGGATAAAATGACAAACGACAGAATAAAAAGCAAAATATGAGGTGGCAACAAAATATATTTATATGGCCTAAATATGTAATTTGGTGGGTTTGTAAGGATAAAAGGGACATTTCACATGCCAATTTTGGACAAAATGGTCATTTCTAAGGTGGGATTAAAATGTCCCACACTCAAGACCAAACAAACTAATCCTGCCAATCTTGCATATGACCCACAGAACACATCAACTTATTATCCAATCCCATCAACGGAGTAACAGGAGTTATCCAACCATATCCTATCCTATCAGTTTAAGTAAACGAGGCCAAAGAGTGCATTTTGTAGGTATATTTGTAATTTAACACATCATTCTTTATTTCTTCTTTCTTCATAGAAACATTCGAGAATGATTTTAAATGAGAGAGTACCATGTGGCGACACGGGAGAACAGTAGTGTCCCGTGGTTCAGAAAGGCAAATTACGCACTCTTTCCCAGGATCATTCCCATCAAACTCCCCCTCGACCGAGTTCCCAATCCCGTAAATCTCCTGCAACTCGTACCTCATGCCGTTCACCCACAATATCTGCTTCACCACACGAACGTGGTACTCTCCTTTGTCCTTCTCAAACACGGCCTGTGTTACCTGTGAGTTTGTCGAGCCTCCCTCATCTGAGTTCCCACATTGGGTTTCGGGGGAAGCCTCTGCTTTTACTGCAAGCGGGTAAATATCCATGTCCAAGTCTTTCGAGAGCTCTCCCTCCTCAAATATTGAAAAGTCTATCCCGGTTCCTGATGGCTGCTTGAACTTCTGGGCTAAGCCTTGTTGAAACTGCACTGTAATGGGTGGGTGAAGGCTTTCTTTCATTGGGGTAAGGCAACAATCTTCACCCTCCTTTGCAAAGAAAATCACTATAATACTGCACGTAACAGGTGAAATTGGAAATGGAATTACTCAGAAAGAAGTGAATAGCAATAATCGTTGAGAACAACTGCAATGAACAGCTGAAAATAGAATTGCAAATAACTGAAGCATAAATGGAGAAGTGATATTATGCACCACCATATGTGAAACCGAGGTTCATCACTTTGCACTTCACACATATTTAACAAAGAGTTTATTTTCTTAACCAAGTTATGCTTCAACGAGATTCTTATTGAGCAAAGCCAGAGCTTGGTTGACTTAAACAATTGATCATAAGAACTCCACAACCTAATTACAGACTTGTAGGACCTGCTTATAGAGAAGCTCTAGCAAGCTCAAGCTAATCCTGAAAAGTAGTGTACATTATAGAACAAACAAAATACAGGAAATTCATCAACTAGCTCAAGCAAATTCAGGTATGGAGTACATCACGGAACAAGTCTAACTGCAGAAAATTCATTACCAAAATTGCACAAAGATTTTACATAGCATCAACATAATAATTGCAGTGTAAATTATCCTATGAACAGAAACAAGATTTTACATACCATCAACATAACAATTGCAGTGTAAATTATCCTATGAACAGAATTACAGAAACAAGACCAAACTGCAAACCCCTGAATTTACCTTCCAGCCACCGTGGCGTCGAACGTGAACGAGACGAGATACTTCCCCGGATTCGCCTCGTCGGGCTCGATCCTCAGCGTCTCCTTCTTCAGATTAACGTCGTTCCGGATCGTGACCGCCTTCTGGTGCTCCACGTACGGTGGCTGCGGCGGGGACGGTGGCTGCGCCATCGGTCCGTAGGGGTACCGCCCGTTGCCCCAGGTCGCGTGCGCCGCCCCCGGAGGGTGACGGTGGTCGTAAGGGGCGGGGAGCGGCGTCGGAATCGCCGTGGGGGGCGGGTAGTACCCGGGGAACTGGTAGTACGGTGGCGGCGCGCCGGGGTTGGGGTACTGCGACTGGGGATACGGCGTCGCCGCCGCGAACACGTATCGGTTGGCGGCGATCTCCGGCTGCGGGGCCTGCGGAGGGGGCGGGGGAGGGTGAGGGTTGGCGTGGCTCCGGCGGCTCGAGCTCCTCCTCCGGCCGTGGACGCCGCTGCTCCCGATGTTGCCCATATATGGCTCCTTTTATGTATGTAATAACTTCTGCGCCTAATTTTCCTCGAAAATTGCAGAGGAGAATACAAAATCGACGGAAAAAGCAACGCAAAGGGACGGAAAAACAGCCGTGAGAACTCCGATCGGGGAGCGTTTGGGGGATGAAGGTGATACGTACAACGGTACAAGGATGGGTGTATGTATAGGTGGGGTGGAGTAAAAAGGAGGGGGCAAGTGGAAATTTGGTAAAGGTATCTAATATAATGAGTGCTTATTAATTTGATGAAAATATGTAGATATGAAGTATGTGTTGTATATTAATATGTTTATAATTATTGTTACTATATATTTTGATATACTATTTATTTGTTTTATTTTAATATGTAAATAGATCGTTTAGATACTATATTATATATTCTATTTGTTACTTAATTTAATAATGTTTTCTTATACTATTATTTGTATGTTTTTATATTACCATGCATGTTGCTACATTTTATATTCAATTATTTACATAATTTATTTACATAAACAATTAATGTTTGATTTTTTTTTTATTTTTTTTTTTCTAAATATTAGATATTTTCCACTCACAAGAACGAGAAAAATGTCTTACAATCGGTGATCCACTGATCACAATAACAGATAACATTAGAAGACTCTAACTTATAAGCAGAAAATAAACTTATACTCTTTTAGCATAAGATATTTAAGTATGTATAAATATTTGTATATTATATACTCACGTACTTAGGAATATAAAATAAAATTAAATGTATTATCTTATATGTGTTGTTTTCAAATTATATATTAAACCACATTAACGGGTAGGGCCGATTTGGAGAGCGTCTTATACTTGATAAATGGGTCCAGTGGGCCAACGGAGGCAAAATGAAATTGAGGAAATTTTTTTCTCACCACAAGAATATTAATATATTGCAACTATAAGAGCATCTCCAATGTGACTTTTGACATTGCAAAAAATTATCCATATCATCAACTTTTGAAAGTTTATTACTAATTTATTCTCCAATGCATCTTGTCATTAGCTCTTTCATGATGATGTGGATGACATTTAATGTTAACAATGTTGAACTCACTTTCTAATATCTAACACCATGTTAAACATGATGACTCATTAATTCACTTTATATTTGGTTTAATTTTTTATTATTCTTGTATTAATGAATTACTATAATTGGTCCACCTATACAAATAAATTCTTATCAAATTGGTGCATTGGAGATATTAGTTTGATTCAAATTTTTAGTCTTTTAACATTATTATTATGTGGATTAACATTACAATCATCAATTGACATGTGTTAAAAATTATTGCCTTTCAACACCATAGCATTGGAGATGCTCTAAGTAGTATAAATGGGGTTAACGGAGTCAAGCTTTACTTGTTAATTTCTCGCGTCTTTTCTAGAATTTTTAGGAAAATTAAGGAGATAAGGGTAACTAAAACTTTTATTCTAACAATGTGAAACATATAATAATAACATAATTAGTAGTATAACAATACTCTTACGTGTTCATTCCAAAATTTATAAGAAATTAATTGAAATTTTTATTTTAAATTATAAATACTTATTTTTTATTTACATTATTATTTTTATTTAGAATAAAACTCTCGATTTTTCAACTCATATCATATAAATGGTATGATAGATAAATTTATTAAATTTATCAATAATAATTTTATTATTACTCAATTATAATTTATATATAACTTAATTATAATTTATAATTATTCAATTAGAATTTATATATAACTTAATTTTAAATTATAAAAGCATATACAATATCGTTTAATTTGATATATTATATAGATTGATAACAAAAATTACGTTGTTATTTATATTTATAATTAAAAATTATATAAATGTTTTATATAATTAAAAATCTTAACAATCATGAATATAAGTGTATATCCACATGAGCTATTTGGAATGATAAAAAAGGTCAACATAACTACCAAGCATCATATACTTACACTAACACTTTTATATAATTTTGCATTTATGTATAGAGATATTATGATGATATTGCAACTAACCTAAATAGGGAATAAAGGGATTGAAGATACTAATATGGCATTAATTTACGTTCACATCAAATGTGATGGATTTCAGGAATTAAGTAAAAAAGTGAATAAACATATAACATTTTATTCTCTTCATAAGAATTTAATTTGTCAAAAGAATTTAATATTGGACAAGCAACAATGGGAAGATATTTTACACTATGCCTTGAGCTCTCGACTCAACTTGACTTGATTATTAATCTCGGACTTGAGTATATTCGAAACCCCAATCAAGCATAATTTCTTCAATAAAGGTGTTAATTAATAGTTTACTTCCCTTAACATATAACAAACAAATTTAGCCCACAGCAATTAAGATGGCGTTGGTGCGAATAATTTATCTATTATAAAGGCATACTTAGTATAACCAATCACCGTAAAGTAAGCATCTTAGTCACCACCCACCAAAAGTAAGCATATCTTACGTACAATAAATAATTTTTTTGCACAATATATAATACATGAGAATAAAAAGTAAAAGAAAAATGTATTTTTAATTATATATATAGCATAAAAATGAATAGGAAGTCTCGAATATCCTCACAATAGTGCCTTAAAAGTGTATATATAAAAGTTCTAAATCCTAAACAAAATATAAAAATATAATAATAATAATAATAATAATAATAATAACATTTTTGCCCTTTTCCACCAAAAAATCTCTATCAAAACTTGCAATAACTTATACTTAGGCTCGCCTATGAATGAATCCGCCCCTCATAATAATAATGTAATGAGCTATAAAATATAGAATTTTAAACCAGAACCACTTATTAAACTGCCCAGACAGTGATTCAAATGCCCAAAAACGGGCCCGCTAGGTAATGCCTGTCTCCTTTCATAGCTAAATCCAACTATCTAACTTAATCCCACATTAATTTTTATATTAATTACAAGTTTCATTATCATTGACCCAATCACACTCTCAAAACTATATCTTACAACAAAAGATAAGGTTTTAAAAATAATCACTGTTGAAGACATCATAAGCATAGGATTAGCAGAACAACAAGGCTTAGTAAAAATATATATAAACTATAAATTTCTAAATAAGAAGTCAAGCTATACATAAATTTACAAAATTTATCATGTTTCCATGCATGCTACCACTTGCAGCATACATCAATGCCACAAAAGCACTATAAAATGCAAAATCAAATAAAAATAAAAAATAAAGGAAAAACTCCAATTCTAAAATAGCTAAGTACAAAATTCTACTAATCATCTTTCATTCCATGTGTCGTGATTGCCTTCTTCTTCATCGACCTCTTCAATTATCGTCTCCAAATTTGGAATATTTGAAGGCTTACGAGGATAAATTATCCTCGACGGAGCAACTTCCATCCACGAATACAAATTCATATTCATATTATTCCACATCATTTTTTCTGAATTTATAAAAACATATCCTACGTAGAATATAATAACATAAGACTTGATTCACTCTCTTTCCTCCTTTATTGCTTGGAAGAAAAGAGAGATAACTAGTTGAAAATATATCAAATTTTATATACTTATATATTTATATATTTTTTTTGGGTTGGTAAATTGTGTTCAAATGAAGAATTAGAGTGGTGTTTATATAATGGTATTTTTTTTTTTTCCTTTTTAGATTTTTAATAAATGTGCTTCGAGGAAATTGGGTTTCCAAACGCGAAACATGTGATGGATAAAGCAATTGGACATAAAAGGGGCAAGTATTGATTGACTCAGAGCAATTGGCTCTTGACCACTCATGGACTTTTATATCTTTNATGAAGTGAAAATAAAAAATTATACCTAGCAATTACAACTTGGTCTGCAAGTTTGATCGGGCCAATTTGATCAATTTGGTTCAGGGCCCAACAGGCGGCCCATTTAGAACCCTTACTCCTTTGAAATAAGTACCTCTGCACGAGCTCAATTTTCTGTATTGCCCATTTAACGAGATAAAAAAAAAAAAAAATTGCACATCAATTTCATTAAGCCTAAATTACGAAATTGGGAAAATTTCAATTCTACTTTCTCTATCATCGACGCCCATCACCACCCTCACCATCTTCTCCACGCCGGACTCCACCTTCTTCACTTTCGGTCAGCCGTCTCTCGCCCACCTCCTCCTTCACTTCTCCCCCTTCTCTCTCTCTCTCCTCAATCCCTCCTCTCCCTGCCCTTTGCCTCCACAGTCCCGTCCCTCTCCCCCGTCAGCCACCTCGTCGTGACCTCCGGCCAGCCTGAACAAATATCCATCAACAACATCAAATTCTCTTATACCCCCATTTTCGACGACGGATTTGTGTTCGTCTACGCAATTGACTGTTTCTTCAACCTGAATTTCACCCTAGCGTATGCAGATTCGGCCAACCCGAGTCCTAGATCCAATTCCCAGTGACTGAATTAATGTGTCATTATTGAGGTAAATTGGAATATGTTGCTTTGCTGTTTGTGAATTGGATGATTATTTTGTCATTATTGCCATATATTAATGTGTCATTATCTATTCAAATAACTTTATGGAGAATCTCAATGGAATTTTTTGGTTTTCACTCCTAGGGCGTGCCAGATTTGCTGCCGAGATTAATTACTTTTCAGCTCACAGACGAACAAATCACCTCGGCTCAGGAGGTAAAGAAAGTCTGCTCAAATTTGATGGGCGATTTTTTTTTTTTTTTTTTTTTTTTTTTGTTTCATTGATTTGTTTGTTGAACTTCGATTTATTGTTGTTGTTGTGGTGGTTCGTACAATAGGAAGTTACGAGGATTAGAAATGAACATCTTGATCATGCTTGTGCTGTGATCAATGACCGAGTGAAAGGTTTGTTAAAGGTGACTCAAGCTTTTGGGGCCGGTTTTTTCAAACAGGTTTGTATATGTGAGTATGTATGTTCTTTTGAGGCATATTCTTTGTGGTTTTGGATATTTGCTCTTTCACCCCGATAAAGCATAATATGGTTCCGATATGCTTGCTAAACGCAACGTGTCCTTGTAAAAGGTTTTCAGAAATGTATGTCGAGTTGCTTTTGCGGTTTTATTTTTATTATACGAAAGGAAAATATATTGTTTTATAATAATTATGAATTGATTGATGAGTGTTTCTTGATGCTTTGATGTTATCCAAATGTTCTTGGGTTATTAAACCATAAATATTAGGCTATTTGTTTTATCTGTGGCTTTGCTGTTTGTGAATTGAGGTAAATTGGATGATTGTTTGCTTTGTTTATTAGACTATAGAGAATTCGAAATGATTCCGGGTTTTGCAGTGCTAGTTGGTGAATATAGATAAATGGCTACTTGTGGAATTTCGATCGTTCCAACTGTGTTTTCTTGTGAGTTGTGATACTATTTTAGTCTATTTTCTGAAGTTCCTCTGTTTTACTCATCGGCCAACCGATATGTTTTTTTCTGTCAGATGAGAAGAGAGGAATGGAGACTCGAAGGTCGGAAAAAGTGATGGGCTGCGTTTTCTATTTTTCGATGGTTCCGATTACCCCTTCTTTCTAATTTACTTGTGTTAATTTTTAGAAAAAATAAATAAATTAAAGTAGCTTTTTTATTGTTAGTTTGATGTTTATTTGATGTTTATCTATGGTTTTCTTGAAGATGAGAGCTTGAATAATCTGTGGAAGTTTTTTATAAAGTAAATTTTTGAGTGTTAATTGATCTATGATTTCATTACGTGTGTTAATTTCTGGGAAAAAAATTTAGTTTTTTGAGAATTAATTCGATGTTTATCTGATGTTTATCTATGATTTCTTGAAGCTCGGAGCTTGAGTAATATCTAGAAGTTTTTTTTATTCACTGCAAATGTGGCTCAGGTATTTTGATGTAGAGAATTTGAAGGCGACTGTCGCGTTGTTGTGCCGATTGGTGATCGTTGTTTGTGTATGTGCTACTATGTGATATATTTGTGTTTTGAATTATTTTTGAAAGTTAATTTGATTGTTAATCTGAAATCAAAGATATGATTGTATGGTTATTAATTAGTTTTTTTTTGTTTATTTGTAGTTTATATTCAGTTTATTTTTTTTAAGTAATTATTTTTTTTTTGGTTTTTTTGTAGTTTATATTCATTTTATTTTTTTAATTAATTAGGTTTTTTTTTTGTTTATATGTAGTTTATATTCAGTTTATTTTTTTAATTAATTAGGTTTTTTTTGTTTATTTGTAGTTTATATTTAGTTTATTTTTTTAATTGATTTTGTTGTCTATTCATTTCTATGTCATTTAGTTATAATTATAAATTAGATAATATACTTAAGATATACTTAAGGTTAATCAGTTTTTTATGATTTTTAGTAAAGAAAATAGATAATATACTTATGATATGCTTAAGATATATTTAAGATTCACCAGTTTTTTTATGATTTAGTAAAAAAATAAAAAATATACTTAGAATATACTTATGATTAACCATAAATTCTAATTAACTTTTAATAGTATAAATGTAATAAATTTAAGATAAACTGAAAATGATCTAAATGAATTTATAAAAGATAACGGTATGGTTTTCAAATAAAAAGGCTTTTGAATTTTGAATAAATATTTGGAATTGTTTACAGGCTTCCAATAAAAAGGTTATGGAAGACATAGGTGTAAAAAGGCTATGGAGCACATTAGTGGAATTATTTTACTGATTTCGTAGAATGGGAACAGGTTTTTTAGAGGAACATATATGCGTCCTTTAGCCTACTTCTTTTGGAATAATTACTCCACAAACGAGCATATGAGTTTTTTTATTGCATATAGACAAAAGATACATCTTATTAGCAAATATACAACATTCGATATTTTTATTTGCATATGAACGAAAAAGCATCATCAGTTTCCTTTTTTTAGGGAAAAAACTAAAAACAAAATCTCAAACTTCCGACGGAGCACCACAATTCCACCCCAAAATTCCACCACCGCAAAAAAAATGGCCGCAACTTACTATTTCGATCAACCCATCATCGGCGACTCTGCCATCAGAGGAAACGACTCCAACTATGTGCTGGACTCAGTCAAACCATTCGTAGTTCACATGTACCGCTCGTAAGAGATGATTATTTGAGAACAACGAGGCAATCGGACGCAACGACTCAATGGACCATCGTCTGTGGCTCATTAACCAGCGGCAGAGCTACACGTGACGATCGAACCTCGGATCCGGTCACTGACGGGAGACGACCATCGGCGAAAAGGAAAACAAGCAGGCTGGCGGATTTCGGTCGAGGGCGGCCAAGCCACGTGTGACAACCCGACGCCTAGATCTCGGGTTGTGGACAAACCTGTCAACTCTTTGATGTATATAATGAATTATCAATATATATTCTGAATATATTTTGTATATAATGACTATTTGTTTTTTTGTCTATATATCTTATGTATGTCTTATGTATATAATGGCTATATATTCAGTATATTTTCTGTATATAATGCGTTTTTAGTTTTCCTTTTATCTTCTGTTATGTATATAATGACTATATATTCAGTATATATTCTGTATATGATGCGTTTTGGTCCGGTGGGATTAGGGCTCAATTTTTCCAATCGAGAGGCGATGAGGAATGTGGTCGAAGCCGCGCAGTCGCCGTTGCTGGGCCAAGCCCCCTGAAAAGAAACGGGAAAGAAGAAAAAAAAAATTAAAGAGAGAGGAAAGAAAAAAAAATAGGAAAGAAACAGGGAAGTATTGCGTTTAAAGAGATAGGAAAAAGAAAAGAACATGCCGTCTTTATAGAAACAATTTTCGTAGATGTGCAAATTAAATTTTAATGAAGTAGGTTTATAATTATTTAACAATCGATATGTGGTATGTATGTATGTAAATTGCCCTTTCTCTTTTGTCTCTAAAGTATGAATATCTGTTTTT